TCATAATTCAATGATGTTGTCATTCAAGACAATATGGCAAGGAAATTTTCCATCTCCTAAGGACTGCTGTGGGTACCACCTGAAATAGGCTGCAAGAGTTGCAGTGGGGAAAGAAAAGCAGTTGTTCTGTGGGGAAAGAACAGCAATCCTATGAGGAAGTTAAGTCTTTGGCATTTAAGGCTGTAAAGCCATAACGCTCTGCAATTGAGGAAACAACTGCAGTACCCAAACAATACAGAAACAGCAATTTTTGTTTTGGTCTATTCCCCCTCAGTGTTTGGGAAAAGTTTTTTGTGCATTTTAAGCTATTCAGTCTGCAACGTCATTATGGTTCCAATAAGACAGAGCTATAATTGTCGCAATGTTATATCAGAGGTATCATATTGGTTGCCCAATTCTTCATTTCCTTCACTAAATGATTTTCAAATATAATGCAGTACAGCATGCATATATGTGGAAAAAGTTGTCAAATGACTGTATTCACCAAGGGGAAAAGTCCACCATAAAATTGCTCCGCAGGTTACTTTATTTGTAATATTTCTCCCTCTAAACATAGTAGCCTAAGACATTGAGGCAGCTGGAAGTAATGAAACATATTTTTCATACTCTTGCTTTTCATTTCAATGTATCAAGCAGCTCTTTAAACTGCTATTTTAAACTATTATGTCTTATTTTAGAAAGCCTTTATAATAATAGGAAATAATAAGAACCCAAAGTACTTGCTATTTGTAAATGAAAATAAATGCTTAGCCCTTCTTGCATTTAAAACATACATTTTAAAAAGCCATTAATTTTGGTTTGTACTACTGGTTTCTTTTATTTTACTAGAAATGTATTCCCATAATTCAAATTGGGGAAATCATTGAAACTACTAGTAGAGGTGGTGTTATGCAAAGAGGTTATATGTCTAAAAGAACTGGGATATAATTTTTCTACTCTACATTTTATTCTTACTTGCTAGTGGATAAGCAGAAAAAATGAAGGCCTTGATATGATCATTTCACTCTACCCTTAGTCCCTACTATCCATATACTTCTGGGTATTTGTAATGTCTTGGGGTGCAAGAAGTACCAAAGCTCACAGCCAAAACTAAAAAAAAATTAAGAAAGGCAATAAAATGTTGGTGTGAAAATAGTTCTTAGTAAAAAGTCATCAGAAGACAAATTATTCATTGCTAATTGAATAAATGTATGGAGATATTAAAGAATAGGTTTAAAATGTGTCATAGGCATAGCTCACCAAATAAGCACAGACACTGTCACAAGTAGTGGAAAAAGGCTTGACTCAGATCTGCCACATGAGGAATAAGTCAGCAGGAACATTATAAAGCCTCCAGCAGCATCCACTGGACACTGTTGAAGTCCTAGGACTTGTTCTCTGCCCTTGGGCTCAGTGCTGTTAGTTCTGGAAGCAGGCTTTCCTACACACAGAACTTGGAGACCTTTTTAACTTTTAAGTTCCCATTTATTATGGGACAGTCAAGCAACTGACATCATGGCCAAACACGTTGCTTTTATGAAGCAAAATTCTGAATACTTACTTTTGTCTTAGTGATTCCAGTGGACTGTACTAGCACAGCACTAACAATTTAGAGCTTCCAGGAGAAAGAACAGCATCACATCACAGTAGTGAGAAACTGAGCCACACTAAACCCTGTGTCTGAGCAAGCCCCTTGCATACAGCTGTGTTGCTTAAGAATGACTTTAATTTCTGAGGTCCTATCTCAGCCATAATCTCGGTGTTCCTGTGTGAGACATCTGCCTTTCAGATTGGCCTACATTCACTCCAGGAAACTACTGCCACTGTACAAGGTTGTTATTACCAGTATTTTTAAAGAAAAGTGGTACTACCCACCTCCAGTGTACAGTTTGGTCCTCCCCATCCAGACCAGGTGAATCAGGGTACAAAAATGAGACAGGTCTCACTTCTGCTTTTTTGACTGTCTGGCTGTAAACAATTTGGGGATATTTTCCTCTTCATCTTTTTTAAGATGTGTTTTTTAGTATAAGTTCTGTAATTATCATCTCTGCAAGAAAAAACAGAGCACATGTATAGTAACAGGAAACAATGACTAAGTGGTTGCTGTTGCCAGGGCACATTGGATACAGAAAATAGAGAGAACGCTGTGCTACACCTTATGCATTTGAACAGTGCAAATGTATCCTAGGACATACAGATAAAAACCTTAGCCACTCACAAGAAAATTTTGGAATATTTTCATTGGGTTTTAATAGACTTTTTCTCTTGCTTGTTATTCTGTTATTCCTAGTTCAAATGTTCCATTTGAAAGTGGACTCATGACACTTTAAACTGACAGATGAGGATTTTATTAATTTCTTTTTTTTTTTAATTAAGAAGCTTAGAAACACAAATGTCCTAGCAGCTACAAATTTCTCTATTCTGCGCATAACAACAGAAAATAATTGCAGCATCTTATATCTTTTATTATTATGCTTATATGCCATTTAATGTTATACTCATGCTTTAAAAAAATCCATGTTTCCTTAGACTAACATCTCTTTTATTACAATGAAAAATCACACATGTTTCTTTTTTATTCTAATATAAATATATTTATTTAGAAAGGACTGGTTTTCTGAGGCATAAAGTAATACAATATAAAGTTGCATTTGGTCTTGCTCATGTATTCTTCTACAGAATCAGAATCCTGGTGCCATGCAACAAGCTATAAGGATTATGAAAATAAAAAAAAGTTTTGGGTTTACAATTAAAGTAATTTTAAGGTATCTGTTAAAAAACCAGAGTTTGCAATAACAGCATATACAATTTATATGATACCTGCAGGGAAAAAATAATGCTAGATTTTTGTATTTTCCAAGTTTCTTTTCTTTAGGGAGTTTGTAAGATCATTGCTGAAGCAGAAAGTTTGTTCCAAGAACCAGTATAAGAAAGATTTTGCTACAGGAAAGAGTTATGAAGTAGTGTAGAAACAGTACAGTGGTAGAAATAAAGTTGTCACTGTAAGATTTATGGTTCTAGTTTAGGAGAAGTTAAGGCTTGTAAAACCCAAATTAAAATAAGCATCTATGTCTAGTGCAGCATTAGACATCTAGGTTCTCCAGGCGTAGAAAGGTAAGGCAGAATCCCTCTTCATCAGCTCTTCCTTCAGGGTATCTTTAGCATATTGGCTCCTGTGAATCCCTTCATTTTTCTGCACTATGAGGAGGTCAAATACCAAAAAGCGGTTTGTGTATTGCTTGTGGATATTTCTATGCCCATGGTTTGATGTGACAGCAGCCAATATTGCCATGCCTGAGTTCCACTGGTGACTCTAACACCTGCTTCTCACTTTCGTAGCTTTATTTGTTTGTTCACACAGCTGAATGAAAATAATCCTAAAGAAAAGATATGAGCATATATTTTCATCTTCAAAAAATCTTAAAGTGACTGTGCAGATAGGTTATCTTAGCTATTTGTTTTTTTCCTTAAAAGGAATTGTCTAGGTAGGTAGATAGGTTTCAAAGGAGGGAAAAAGAAACCTAAAAAACATGGTAGTTTGTAGTTCAATTCTGTACTCTTATGATGACAGTCTTTTCCTAAAGCAGAATAAGGATGGGATTTTTTTTTTCCTCCAGATGTACCTTACTGAGTGGAAAGCTCAGGTAAAGAGATTTACTTCTATGGGGTGGCAAAGACACACTCTAGCTTTACTTATGGTCTGACAGTACTTTAACTAGACATTAAAAGCATGGTTGTAATAAGAAACTGCTTTGCCTTTTATAATTCTAGCTATTGTATTTTAAAGGTACACCATAGTTTAGTTTTGCTAGTCTCCATAAAGACAAGGAAAGTACCAAAAAAAAAAATATAAAAAACACAGCTGTATGAAAATACATGACAAAGGCAAAAATCATAAATTCTAAAAATGAAAGTACACCTGGAGAAATTACCAGCAGCCAGTTCTGCAAAAAATAAGAGTGTACAGTCATTCCTCAGAACACTATTTTGAAAGCACATTTTGTTAATGGACATTTTAAAGGATTTGCAAATTGTTCAAGATTATGGGTAATAATCACAGTAGGAATTACTTGTGCATTTGGAAGTAATTTGTCTATGTCCTAAATTAGTCTCAGACTGAGAACTTTCTTTTATTTAACCAATTTTACACATTCATAGCAAGAAATGCGAAGTAAAAGTTAAAAAAATGGAATAGCTCAATCCCCTTTGTCCCCAAAATTATTGCCTTCTATATTTTCTAATAATGAAATGTATTATAGGCAAAGCATCAGGTAATATTAAGTTCAGCAATTCTACAATTCTAATCCTTGAAAGTTAAAAGACAATATAGATTTACAAGAGCGAGTACCATACAAATCACGTACAAGTTCACTTTCAGGTGTTGAACTGATATGGTTTAAATATTTCAGTATTGATTTAGATGAGTTGATTTGAAACCCTGTTTATGCATACATGAATGTATTTAAACATGATTTATACTTATTTAACATGCTGGTATTTATTTTTACAAATCTTAAGAAAACATTTAGAAATCTCACCTTTTTTTGGTTTTGTTTTTGTTTTGTTAAACCAGTGCAAATCACAGAATATGCTGAGTTGGAAGGAACCTACAACCATCACTGAGTCTAACCCTTAGCCATGCACAGGATCATACCTAAGAGTCACACCATGTGCCTGAGAGTGTCATCCAAATGCTTCTTGAACTCTGTCAGGCTTGGTGCTGTGACCACTTCCATGAGGAGCCTGTATCCCTTCCAGTCCTGCATCCAAGTCATTTATGAAGATGTTGAGGAGCACGGGGCCTAAGATGGAGCCCTGTGTAACCCCACTAGTGACAAGTTGCCAGTTTGATGTTCCCCCATTCGCTATCACCCTCTGTGCTCGACCCATGAGCCAATTGCTCACCCACCACATGATGTGTTTATCCATCTGTGTGCTGGACAGTTTCTCCAAAAGGATCCTGTGAGAGACAGTATCTAAAGCTTTACTGATCAGCTAGGTGGGTTACCTTATCATAAACAGAAATCAGGTTTGATAAGCAGGACTACCCTGCTGGTTGTGTCTTTCAGGTGTTTTTCAATACCTCCCAGAATAATCTACAATTTACCAGGCACTGGTAAATCTATAATTTACCAGGCACTGAAGGGAGACTGACAGGCCTGTAGGTTCTGAAGTCCTCCTTCTTGCCCTTATTGAAAATTGGTACAACATTTGCCAGCTTCCAGTCAACTGAGAACTTTCCAGATTCCCAAGACAACTCAAAAATTGAGAGAGGCTTTGCGATAACATCAGTCAGCTCTTTGAGGATTCTGGGATGAATCCCATCAGGCCCCATAGATTTGTAGGGATCCAGCTGGAGTAGCAGGTCTCGCACAAATTCAGGTCAACTGGGAGTTGATTATTCTTGCAGTCATGGTCCTCAAGCTCAGGGCGCTGAGATCCCCTTGATCTGTCATCCCTGTTGAAGACAAAGGCAAAGAAAGCCTTAAACACCTCTGCCTTGTCTCTGTCCCCGTTTGTGAGGTTACCATCCTCATCCTGTACCAGGCCAATGATATTTCTATCCTGCTTATTGCCATTAACATATTTGAAAAAACTCTTTTTATTGTCCCCTACATTTCTGGCCAGCTTCAGCTCCTGTTGATTTTCTGTCACACGAATTTTCTCACTACAGCTGCAAGCAGCATCTCTGTATTCTTCCCATGTCACTTGACCTTGCTTCCACTGGACATACACCTTCCTTTTTTCCTTGCCTCTGAGACAAGATCCCTGTTCAGCAAAGCTGGCCCTCTGCCTCACTGCTTGACTTCCAGCATTTGGGAATTGCCTGCTCATGTGGTGAACCTCGTAATCGCCCTTACGAGGTGATGTTTCAAAACTGGCCAGCACTGATGGACCCCAGCACCTGCAAAGATATGAGAATGCCTACCTGAAATAAGCATCATAAAAAGAGTAATGTCTTGGGGTTTTGTGCTATAACTTTTCTGTAGGTAGTTTTCCTTAAAGCAGCAAATTCGGGATTACTTGGTTACTTGGGTAGCGAATGCAGGCATGTACATAAAAGGCAAGACAAAAATATCCCATGATTGCTTATAAAATTTCAGAGATGTTAAGGTTTTGGAAAACACCGTAAAAGTATAAAATTAATTCCTCCTACATTTTCCTTAAACTTAGACCAATATTTTATCCTTCTTATGAAATTACTTTTTTCAGACTCTTCACGTAAATTTTAATTGGGCACTTATTCACAGTTTGCCATTACGGGTAAATGACAACTAAGCAGCTTCACTGCTTCAGAAACTTTCAGCCAGTGACAGTATTACACGTAAAAACTCTGCACAGAGAACATACTTATGTGTTACACAACTGGTATTATTACTATTGATACTACTAGCAGCATCCAATTTAACTCCCAAGATAGATCACATTACCATTTACTCCTCCATCTTAGATATATAGGCTAAGCCTAAAACTGACAAATCCAATTGTCTGTAATTTAATAAGGACTTCAGGACCTAAACCCATTAAGATTGTTAAAAATGGAAATGTCTCATAACCTTGCTGTGACATTGTAATGACTGATGCAGCTACACATCACTGTAATCAGACATTTTACATCCCTTTTTCTTCTGTCATTGAATTGCCAGCTATCTATTTTCGGTGGATGGGACCTGCTGTAGCTATGTCAAGAGATTTTGAATAATGTCCAAATGGTATAATTTAAATGTCAAGTAGTAGGGAATTCACAACTAATGCTACTATTCCTCCTGACTTTTGCCAGCAAATGTCTCATGATAAATACATGACATTCTTCAAAAATCATTGAGGTAAAGAATAGGATCATCTGGTTTCCAAGTTTCTGAGATTTGGGCATATATGTTAGGTAGGAAACTTCTTTTAAAAACTTTCTCAATGTATGTGTTGAAAAAGTTCATTAATGCTTTTTCTTGTTAAATTAAGTTAAATTCTACTTTCTTTAATCTATAGGCTTGGAGAGCATGTTATTGGTTCAAAGAATGAAATGGCAGTTTAAAAGTAAAGTAAACTAACATAAAAATAATATCAATTAAAAAAATAGGAAGAGTGAGTAAACACCCGCTTCACCTCTGCAAGAAATAAGACTTCTTACTTCTGGCAGGCTCTCCAACTATGTCAGTGTACTTTTTATAGGAAAGACATTACTTTTTGAAAGGTGCAAACGGTGGCAGGATAATCACCTTAACAATATTCCATTTTAAGATTGGGGGTACAAAAGAAAATGCAATGTTCATTTTTTTCTAAATCATTCCTAACTATATCTAGGGAGATCTGTTTTTAGAAAACAGATTTGACAGCCATTTCCCTTATTCTTATCTACTTTGATTTATAGTTATTAGTCATCAGTTCTGAAAGAAAACATCGACATATAACTGGGAATGCACTACTTTCGTATTGCTTTTATCGAATGAACTAAATAATTATTATTGTGATTCTGTGCAGAACAATAGCAAGAAACAAACCTGAAAGTTGTAAATTTCACTCATGGGAAGTGAAGTGAGAATGGCAGGATTTGGCTAGAGATTTAAGATGGCAGAAATGACACAAGAGAATCAAGACCAATTTCCCCCAAATCTCTCCTGTTTATTCCTCCTAATTAGACACTAGTAAATATTGAAATAAATTCCTTACCACTGGGGACTTTTCATCCATTTCAGGCAAGAAGACAACAAGGAACAAGAAATACAGCAGCAGATGACATACAGATAATGTGATGGAAAAATATAGGCAGAGTGTGCTGTTAAATACAAATTAACAAGGCAACTGTCTGTCTGCAAGACTGAGTAGCCAACAGGGTTATCCCAGTACTGCTGCTGTACAACACCTTCTTAGTCATGCTTCTATTTTGGGTTAGCATCAAAGATGTACTCTTACTCTATAGCCTTGGAACAATTGGGCAACCCCAGAGAATGGCCAAATCATTAAGTTCTGAAAGAAGGTCAAAATGAGACATATTTATATGCATGTGCTCACCTACAAGACCTTTTCAAACAAAACTAATTGCTTATAGTGAAGTAGGACTAGGGCTACCACGAAATGAGAGGCCAAGGACAGGTATGTCACATTTAAGTGTCTGACAACTGGAGGCAGGCACTGCAGTCTGGCCAGGCAGTCACTTCGAGGGCTCTCAGGCATTTTTCTGAAGTTAAAAGATCAGGGTTTCCCAGTGTATGGGAAGAAAAAGCATCTAAAACTTATGAGGTAGTGACAAAGATAAAGAGTCTTCCCCATCACCACAAACTTGCCTGACAGTATGTTTAGTGAGGAAACTGAGCATATGGGTGTTGGATAAATTTTGTCCAGGAAAGAGATGTCCCAAGAAATACTGTCCTTTACTTTCTCCCATCCTCCTTGTTCTCAGCCATACTAAGACCTTCACCCTTCTCCCTATGTCATTCTCACAAAATTATGTTATTTTGGGGCACTGCAAATCAGAGCACTCAGCTGATCCAAATAAATGTCTTTGGATTTGTTATTGTGGTTTTTAAGCAGGGATCATTTGAATTACACTTTATAGCACATTCCCTGAACAGTTGTTTTAGTACAACATACACATCAATATAATGTACAACAGCAGTTGAGAGAAGCAGCGACGGAACAGGTTGCTCAGAGAAGTGGTAGATGTTCCATCCCTGAAAACATTCCAGATCAGGTTGGATCTGGCTTTGAACAACCCAGTCTAGTTCATGGTGTCCCTAATCATTGCAGGGGGGTTGGACTAGATGATCTTTAAAGGTCCATTCCAACTCAAACCATTCTGTGATTCTATGATTCTGTGACAAATGCTTTCTATGCTGTAGGGTAGCTAGGGATGAAAAGGGAATTTTTTAATAGCTTCCAACATGGAACATATGCAGATGACTCCCAAGTACCCATGAATACCTGTGTATCAAACCTTTGAACTAACTGACCCAAATGAAGCAAACTGCAACAGAGCAACATTAGTGCTGAAATGCATCATGTTTAAATTTTTGTACCAAATGGAATACAGTTTGAGATTCCTTTCTCTTAATACATGATAGTTTACACAATATCCCATATTTTGCAGTAGGTTTTAAAAGTTAATCTCTTTATTAGGAGAAATTATTCAGAAAAAAATATGACATGCTACAAATAATTTCAGTCTGCCTCCAGTTAGTTTTTTTCTGGAATGAATTGTCATCATATGAAATAATTGCAGTATGTCGGCATAACTATGTGTTTAATTGAGAATTTTATAAACATAAATCATATTATCCACTATCAAATTGGACAATTTTTCTTTCTGTGGAAGACAGTGTTTACATTATTCTAACAAATTGTATTTGAATAGCTTTGACTTTACAGAACTGTACAATCAATTTGAGCTTATGAAATGAAAAATATATATTTAAAATAAATGCCATTCATTCAAAATAGATGGTGTGTTCATAGGGCAATGCAATAATATTTCCCAACCATACATGTAACCTGCCTAGGCAAATATTATTTAAAAAAAAAAAATATTTTTAAAAAATTCACTGAGAACTACAGTGTTGATGCAAAATATTACAAGAAAGAATCCTTACATGTAATGGTAGTTATATGCAATACAGTAGAACAGAAGTCTGGTACAAGGGTACAAGTAGTTATCACTACATTTTTCCTGTCAAAATCCTGATCTGTTTAGCACTTGTACTTTAATAATTTCTGCAAGCATGAGCAATAAAAGGGTGTATGAGCAATGCAATGGGTGTTTACAACTCATGCCATGGACACCAGTCTGCCCACAACTTCTCTCTAATGCCTCAGTACAGAAAGGAAATTATGTGGGGGACCACAAGATAACATCCTGCTTCTAGCTACATTTCATGCTTCACACTCAAAGGAGCCCTTCCCTATGTATGTGGTCTTTATCCCTGACAGGTACAAAAGAAATGAAAGTTCAGTGTTTTATTTGGCCAGGCTTTTTGTTTCAGGAATTATTGCCTCTGAAAAAATAACATTGATAAAACCTAATGATCTTTAGAAAAGAAAAAAGTCTGTGCCATGGCCCAAATAATTATGCTTTCTATCATCACTATTACTTCCAGTAGGAAGCCAGGTACCCAGACAGATTTTCCTATAACATATTTGCTGTGATTAAATATCATTCAAACAAAGAAAAAAGTTAAAAGAGTGATAGATGGAGTCACATCTATTATATGTAAATAGTCCAGCAGTTTCTAATATCTGCTAAAGGGATGAAATGTTCTCACTGTGAATGTCTGGTGCTATTTATTCTGAAATAAGCCAGAGTACTTGTACTTGGGTTCTCCATATATGTATTTAAGACTGAAAGCACAGAAAGCAGCAATAGATGGGACAGCAATTTCGTGCTTTTTGACTGATGACTTCAGTGCCCTGCTGTCTGCCTGCTTTATGGCTTTTTTAAGCACAGGAGGTTTTTCATAAGATTTTCAA